AACAACCGCTAACTATTGTATAACCAAACAGTTATATTTATCAAATCCGCTATTTACCATCCGCTACCCACTTTCCGCTATCTGCCATCCGCTATTCATTAACCGCCACCCGCTACCCGTCACCCTCTACCCGCTACAGCTATCCGCTATCCGCTACTCGCTACCCGCTATCCGCTAAATTTTAACCGTTGTACCAAACAGGCCCTAATTCTGCCATTGGGTTATCCTCAACTCCTCTGTTTTCCTTGTTTTTGCATGGTGATATCCTCATGAAGTCCTAAATAGAACTACTCAAGGATTGCGGTCATTCAATTCAATAGTAATTAGAATATCTTAACAGGTATGAGATTTATTGTTATTTATAATTTAAACACTATTAATTGTTTCATATTAGCTAATTATTAGCTATTAAAAATAATTAAATCAAACTGAGTAGAATAATGTGAAGTGGTTATTCAAAGGGGATTGGAAATAACAAATTTTTACGCTTCAAATTCTGTTTACAAGATTGGAAGTAATCATAACACAACACAACCAACTCCACCCGGCTTTCTTTAACAAGTTGGAGCTTCTGTCTTTGAAATTGTTCATAACAGCAAATAATTTCTTGAGCCAAACAACTAAGATGACGATTTCAACACCAATAAGAAGCTCAGATGCCTCAGTAGATGAATTTCACCAGCGGAACAGGATCAGTTCCACGCTCCATCCAACTTCTGATGTATCTCTTGGCCCCATTGGTTAGTATATAGAAGCTTTTTTTTCTTTTTTTATACCATCTTCTAATGTGAATAATTGAGTATGCCTCCATATAGTCCATACCATATCCATACGTTTTAACATTGAACAATTATATTACTCTGGGATTTAACCTTTTCTTAAGCTTCCCTATGTTTCTTGTTTAACCAATTACATTTTTGGATGCCAGCAAACAGGAACATGGAATCTTGCAGATCAAAAAGAAAAAGGAACATGGAATCTTCGTCAATGGATTGGGAATTGCTTTCGAACCACATTCTCGATTTAATTCATGATAAATTGGTTTATCTTGTTGACTATATCTATTTTGGTGCTGTATGTAAGGAATGGCGCTCTGTTGCACAAGACAATAGAAAGCGAAGGCGCACCATCAACGCATCTCATCCTCATCAACCCCCTTTACTCTTGGTTCCTATTAAAGACAAAGATGAGAAACTTATATATAGTATCACCCAAGACCGAGTTAGCAACATGAGATTAAGAGTACCTTTTAATAAAAGGTATTATGGTTCCTCCTATGGCTCGCTGATCGACATGGATGAGACATTTAGCATAATTCTACTAAATCCTTTCTTGGAAAAAGTCATCAAACCACCTCCGATGACAAAAGGTGATGAATCTACCACCGACCACGAGCCTTTTATTTTGAAAGCAATTTTATCAAATGATCCGGACCTAAATCCGAATGATTTTATGGTTGCAATCATATACAATGGTATGCGATACTTAGCAGTCTATAAATCAAGTCCACGATCTTGGACTTACTTGCACGACCATCCAAATGGAATGGGTTACCGTGATATAATTCATCACAAGGGAGATTTTTATGCCATAGACGGTAGATTGGGCGTTGGAAAGATTGATGTTGCTGGTATTGAGAAATGTCCACGGCCTCAGGTGAGTTTGGTAGCACAACGAGCACCAACAGCTTTAACACCAGAAATCTCTAGAGTTTATTTAGTGGGAACATCTGAGGGAAATTTATTATTGGTTCAAAGGGTTTATACCCTAGTTTACCCGGATCGTGTGTATGGTGAATGGGATGATGTACCAATATTCACAAGCAGCTTTATAATCCACAAGCTAGAAGAATCAAAGGAGCTTGTTGAGATCAGGGATATAGGAGATAATGCAATGTTTTTAGGCGATAATAATTCTTTTTTACTCCCAATTT